GTGCTGTCTTGTGTTTTCTCAACATATATTTTACATATCTTCTGCCCAATTTGAAGAGTTAATTCAATCACTGAATCAGGTGTGTTGGAGCTGGAAAACCTCTAAAACATGCAGGATAGCGGCCCTCGAGGACTGGAGTTTGACACCCCTGATCTATGCGGTCCCATGGCCCTCTGCGGCCCAAAGTTAAAAACTGTTGTTCTTTTGAGGCCCTCAAGGTGGCGCTTGCGGCCCACAATTGGTCCACGGCCCATAGGTTAAGAATCTCTGGTCTAGTATTCCTAGTATCGCCTATCCTTACTGATTGGTCAGCTGCTGTCATCATGTCTGTTCTGAACAAATGATTCCAGTTTAATGATTGTGTGTAATTCAGTTTGTGGGCCAGATGGAATCAACTTGCAGCCCAGATATGGTTCAGAGACCACTAGCTGACAATAACAGGTTTAAAAGCAACAATATTTTGTTTGTGAAAATGTTCATTCATTCGTTCGTTCATTTGTTTGTCCCTACCTCCCTCCCTCCCGCCTTCCAATCAGGCAAACCTCAAACCTCCCTGGGGAGGTGCTCAGGAGGGGTCCTTACCCCTTGCCAAGTAAAGTGTTCATTAATGAGGACAATCCTCCCTGCTTGGTTTTGTTTTGAACCAAACTATATTAAATATTTCTATCAAATCCTAGAAAAAAACAATAAAATGCTGAAACGATCCTAGCTAGAATAACCATCCTAGCTTTCAAGGCCAGAGCAGCACGTGAAATGAGGATAACTTGAAAAAAGTGATCACACACTGGTTCATGCTCTACTTATCCTGCCCACAAATACTCTTCGGAAAAAAAAAAAAAAKCAACACACTTGTAGGATTTGTGAAACAGATATGTTAGAAGTAGATGCTGGATGAGGCCTAATAAGTCATTAAAAACTAATTCTTATTTCTTATTTCTGTGGATAATTTGAGCAGAAGTAGCACTCCTCAGCTCATTAAAACTCACATTTTCCATGAGTTTCAGTGTCACCACTGGTGGTTACAGATTCATTGCTGCACATTATTAGTTTTATTGGATTTGATTGTTTGACTTTGTAATTTGATTAAAACCACATCTATGCTTCTCTTCTCTTCCTTTTTCAGCTTTGACTCTTATAATCTCTTCTTGAAGCTGTTTTTTTCAATGTTTTAACAATCAAACCCACAGAGAATATCAACACTCTGAAACAGAAAACATCTCACCTGTCTGATTGCGTGCAGCAGCTTGCCATATGAGTAGACGATTACGGCGAACGGCAGAACCAGGCAGAAGATGAAAAGGCTGATGATGTAGGAGATGTTGTTAGGCGTCTGGGTCTTCCAGTCCACTGAGCACGTGGTGCCGGGGCCCTCGGGTCCGTATTTGCTCCAGCCCAGCAACGGGGGCACAGTCCAGGCCACGGAGTAGAGCCAGGAGAAGCAGATCCCCGCCAACGCCGGACGGAAGTCTCTGCCGTCGGCTATAGTGGGCGCCATCATGGTGCAGTAACGCTCGTAGGACAAGACCGCCAGAGAAATCAGGGAGACGATACCTGATGGGGAGAAAATGACACGAGTGTCACAACTTACTGTCCGCAAAAGCAGCACATTAAACAACAGACAGTGATTTTAACTAAATCTGATYCTTATTGGGGGCTTTCAGGAGCCAGAAAGCAGATTTTCCAAACTGGAGCATCTGTTCTATTTCCCCGAGAATGATTGAGATGCATTGAAATGCAAAGTGAAGTTGAAGCTTTACTTGCTTTGATCATTTTGATGCTTTTTGAATTTGTTCATCTTTGGGGCACAAACAAGAAGTTCATTTTCTGACTTTAATGTGAAAAAATGTCAGAATTAGCTGTGGGTGGGACWAATTTACATCCAACTCATGCTGATTTAGAACTTAAAAAAAGTTTTCATCTTCTTTACCAAAACCATTCATTTTTCTGTACTATGTGGACAAAATATTACATTTATGAAGCATAATTATACACGTATTATTCTGGATTACACAACAAATGTAATGCCACTGAATACATACAGTACTAGCAAAATGTACAACCATTAGAGTTAAGGTAAAAAAGAATAAAAAASTGAAAATGTATATAAATTTGATAAAGTATGAGGCTAAGATGTTTTATTTTTACCTCCTAATCCCTGAATTAAATCTTGTGTTGTGACATTATGTAGTAGTGTGAACCAAAACCACCTCTCCACAGTCAGGTAGCGACTTAAACGGAGGCAAAACCTTCAACAATCTGTGTTAAAAGATAATTGCAGCTGCTAAATGTACTCAGTGATGATTTACCTGCGTGTGAAGCAACTTTAGTTCTTAATCAGAGCCAATCAGCATATAGAGACTGGAGTATTGATCCAGAGGTACTTTGACTAGAAAAGACATAAATTACACACAATCACAGCCCCCGAAATGGAGCGCTCTGGTTGGCTGAAAATACAACTTAAAGGGGACCTATTGCCCAAAATTCACTTTTTAAAGCTTTTTTTACTCAACTTTGGGTATGTACTTCTTAAAAAAAACAGTCCTAGGACCAAAAAATGCACCCAGGGGCATATTTACTGTAAGTAAATGTATTTTTATGTATATTAATGACAAGTTTTATACTTCCTACATTTTGTGATGTCACAAGCCGTACGACAACCCACCGGAACCTGCGTTCAGCCCCTCACGCTGTCATGACGTTGTCTCGTCTTAAAAAAAACCTTCTCTCCTCCTGGCCACACCTCCTCCCTCACCCCCCTCAGAGTCTCCACTTTATGCATTTTTCAAATTTGCGTTGGGGGCTGAGTTATCCTTTCACAGGGGGGTAAGTTCCACTTTAAAATGGKTACTTCTAAATTGTTTGTTCTTCCCCAATTACAAAAATGATCCCAAAATATTTTTAGATTTACACAAGAAAAGATGTTCCTCTGTTTCTATAGGTTGCAAAAAGTATATTCATTATCCCCAATTTGGAGTTCAAAAAATCTCCACAGGGATAAATATTGTTTATTGTTTTAAAGTGTACTTCTTCAGCTTTGGGTGGGATAGGAAACTTGAGATAGTTARATCTAACCTTTATTTACATTTGTAAAAGTGAATTCTTTTGTTAAACTTTGTCTTTTCAGGGGAGATGGAAAACATTAAAGATGTTTTTATCCTTCTTGTAAATAAATGGATGAGAATAAAGAGTATTGTTGAGGTATTACCTCTGTATATAACAATAATGACCCTTTAATACTGCAAATAATAACTTTTGGGGTCGCATTAATTACGTCCAGAGTTGTATAAAGTACTACAATGTGATACTTGAGTAAAGGTACAAGTATCTTACAAAAAATTACTTTAAAATTAAAAAAATCACTCTCCTTTAGGAATATTACATGAGTAAAAGTCAAAGTATCTGACATTTTTTGTACTTAAGTATTAAAAGTAAAAGTATTGATTTAAAATGAGCTGATAGATTTTCTGTAATGACATTTATTAGGAGGTGACCTCCCCAAAAAACTGCAGAAATGACTATGAAGTATTAACATAATAGGATGCACTAGTCTTGCTGTTTCAGTTTATACGGTATATATCAAGGCTGCACAAAGCTTTTCTCCAAAATGAAAATCTATCTGAGGGCTGCGGACAAACGCAGTAATACAATTTATAAAATACGTACAAATACTTCTTAAGTTCAGTCTTGAGGCATTTTGGTGATCTCACCTCCTGATTGGTTGGCAGCACCATCATCTCACCTGTTCTGTATTTGGCTCATCAGCTCACAGGCTTCTTAAGGCTGTTTGGAGGATCAGATCTTCGCTGAAGCATCACTACTCTAAAGATCTCAGCCTTTTGTTACCAGAGTTTACCTGATCGTGTTTTTTTCTATGCTTACCTGTCTCCAGAGTTCGAAGGACCTCCTGAGTTGTTTTTGATCCACCTGTTTTCTGAGCCTGCCTGATTAACTCCACCCGATGAGCCTCTCACCTGAACTCCTCCAGCACTGCCTGTCTGCCTCCACCGAACCAAACACTCACCTGAAGATCACTCACTAGTAAATCCTCGCCTGTGGAATAATTCACCTGTAAATACTCACCTGTGGACCCGGGACCTACTCCTCCACGTTGAGCTTGCTGAACTTACCCATAAGATCAAATACTTTTTTAAGATAACTCGTTTGGATTCCAAACCCACTAATAACCTCTAAAACTTCTCTGCTTCCAGGTCCTGTTCCCCCACCTGCACCTCTAAAAGTAAAAACACTTACCTTTATTTACGTGCCTCTGGTCTTGATCTGTTTTCTGGTATTGCTCACGTTGACTCTAGTTTTGGTTACCTGACACAGTCCTTTTATTTTAATGATTATGTCCTGCTGGAGTGTGACATGATTTGTTTGTGTACAAACTAATACGGTACCAGAATTTGATATCATTAAACTTCTCATTCAACAACAATTAAATTCACTCTATCTAGGAGGCACAGTTTACATGGATAGAATTTTTTTTTTCACAATAACAAGCTGGAATGAAAACAAAAATGAAATAAAAGTAACGACTTTCTACTTATGGCCTTTTTTAAAAATGTAAGTAGTAGAAAGTACAGATAATTGTGTGAAAAGAAGTAAAAGTAAAAAGTAGGCTGAAAAATAATTACTCAAGTAAAGTACAGATACCCAAAAATTCTACTTAAATACAGTAACCAAGTATTTGTACTTGGTTATTGTTATAAGGTATGACTGGAGTTCTACAGTTCTACTCGCGTGTGGAAAATAASCAAAGCACTCGAGCCTCTCTTCAGACGGATGTCGCCATATTTGTTTTAACTCACGACAGCAACCGCTCATGTGACAGTTTAGAACCACAGTACACATAGCGGAAACAGAAATACTTCAGACCTTCAAAATAAAAGTGTAAGAGCGTAATAGATCACGTAAAAGTTACTTTACAACTCAGATTATGTCATAGTATTTCTGACTAGTACAGGTGAGATTATATTTACTCATAAATCTGCAAATTCCAGAAAGTTACCTCTACTGTCCATTAGATGTAATATAGACCGTGTTCCCTGTTCAGAACAGTTTTTATAAAAAAAAGATGTTGGGGTTTTGTTTTTTCTCCGTTAAAAATAGTCAAACTACCATTACTTCTTCCTCGTCTGAATGTTTATTTACTCTGAACTCACGTTTGATCTTGAGTCTTTGCCATGTATCTGTACACCACATACTGTAGGACCAAACCTGTTATATCTATGAGTTTTCATCATCATGTGTGAAGTCTGTAAGGTTTTGAAAATCAAGCGGCAGTTTTAAAATCTTGCCATGTGAACCATGTATTACCATCAGTGTGTGTGTGTGTGTGTGTGTGGCTGAATGACTGTAGTGTAAAGCGCTTTGGAGCCTGAAGGGACTTGATAAAGTGCTGAGCAAGTTCAGGCTATTTAATATTTATCAAAAAAAAAAAAAAACAAAGACGACAAAACTTTGCTTGTGGCCCTTCTTAGACTATAGCTGTTATCAGTCCATGATGAGGTCATTCAAAAAACTACCTACAACAGGTAAGATATTATTTATTCACAACCTTACCACAGAAACACTTTTTTAAATATCCACGTATAGCTTCATTGAGCACGCACCAAATAATTTTAAAGCAGCATGGCTTTTCGAGCTAAATCTCCTCTGTGGGCTGCAATTAAGCACAGTCGACTTTGATCTCATCCCACTAAGATGTATTAAAATCACATTAAGAACCACTTTATAAATAAATAAGCATCATCTCAACATCTATTAATATGAAGCAAAGCAATGAGTTTTTTTTACTAGGCAATTAATTACCACCATCAATCACTGCTACTTATTAAATGTTTGATGCCAGTGTTCCCATTCCCTCCTGAATGAGCCAATAAAAAACATATAATCAGTCCCTGAAGTGAATCTCTGAAGCATCTCAGCTCCTCTCTATCAGCGAGGCTTTCATCCTGTCACAATTTTGATGCTTTTGCCTGTTTCTTTTTTACAGATGTTCTACACTACTAAGAACTGTGCAGAATTAATTATAGAGGTTTCCTGGTTATGGATACACTTTAATTACATTTTTTTTAACAAAGTGACTGTTTAAGTTCAGTGTGGATTATTGCAGAGAACCTGTTGACCCAGTCAGAATCACTTGGTTTTTAAGAAAATAGAAGTCCAGGATAAATAAAAAAAATAACATTCATCCTGTTTTTACTCTGAATAAAGCTCATTTCTCTGCACCTCACCTCAACTACAAAATTAAGACTAAAATTGCAAAATTTTTAACGTTTTGATGAGTTTGAAGCTGAACGTTTTAAAGAAAAGGGAACAAAACCACAGAAATGCCTGAAGCAAATTGCTTATCTGAAAACAATTCAGTCCTTAATGTTCTGTGGTTTCCATCATCATTAAAATGTTCAAGCTATTTGTTAAAAAATAAAGAAAATATTTCATTTTTAGAGCATTCAGATTTCAATTATTAGCAGGGTACTGTGCAAAAGTCTTGAGTCCACTTTTATTTCTTTACGTTTTACATAAATCAGTCAGATTTTCCTTTAATCTTTTAATGTTGTTTTGATCAATGTTTCTATGGGCTTTTCTTTGGATATTGGCTGCTTTTTTCACTCATTTTAATCCAATATCTGACCATTATCAGCAGATTTTATTGTTAAGTCCTTATTTTAAAGTCACTTTTTGTCCTGCAGCTTTCCTTATTATTGTTTAAAAGCACATGCGACACGATATGTTGTTACATTGATACAAGCACAAAATGTGAAATGTAACGACAAAAAAAATCCAGATTAACAGAAAAAAACCCACATTGCGTCTCAAGTCACAGAATTTTACATCTAAAATCAATCTTCTGTTTCATGAACAGTAAAGACAGACTAAAAGTTTTCTTATATCCTTCTATAGGTCACTTTTAAGTTAAAGTTTTAAATCTCCAGAGTTTTCTGTCTTGGTTGAATGAAGATCTAAATGAAACATACAGTATATTGTTTAGCAGAGAACTCTGCAGAACAATATAAAAGCACACAGAATGTCAGTTTTACACATTTTACACAAGTTCTTTAGTACTGACTTTAATTTTCTTTYTAGCATCATCACACAGTTCCACATGATACTGTTAACTTCTGAACACAAAAGTCTCTGTTTTTTCTCTCTTCTCGTCGTGCTCTGTGGAGCAGAACAAAAACATTCAGTGATGCAGCTTTTACGTTCCAAACTGCTGACTCAGCCTGCCAGAGGATTCAGTACTTCCAAAATCCTTTATATTCAGCTTGGCTTTTGTKTCATTGCACTGTTTCCTTTATAAATTAGATTTTATTTATTGACTGTATAAATATMTTAAGGCTTATAAATCATTTTAAGTTAGGTTACAGTCTGAGTATTTCACTGATAATCATTACTTCAATAATTAGTTTTGACCAAATAATTAGAATTTATTCATTATTAAAAATAATTTATTTTTGCGAAAACGTATTTYTTTTTCCCACGTACTGTTTATATTATTTATTCGTTTTATCTTCTGCAACATTTAACTTCTTCTGCATGATTGACCCTCCAGATCTGCTCMGTTTCCTGCAATTTTGTCAATTTGTGAGGTATTAAAACAAGGTTTGGCTGGTTTATTGCTTGACTGAAGTGATTTCAGACCAATTATTTAAGGCTTTGTTTCCCTGTTTTTTTTTCTTCCCTTTTTTTCCCTTTATTATTATTATTATTTTTGAAAGTCCAGACTCTGAAGAAGAAACAGGCGATCAGAAGCAACAACAACTTGATGCAGCTCCATCCACTCCAAACTGCATCTCAACAGAAAACTAAGATTAAATCATGTTGTAGTTTCAGGAAAAGAGAATTCCATCCCATAACAGATCGATCTTTTAAAATCCAACAGAGAAACTCTACAGTGAGCACGCCAGTCAGCAGAAGCTGGGTCAGTCCTGCATCTTTCATGCTTCAGTTTATTTCACTCCAGTGGCTGGAAAATCTGGATCCTTCAGCTTCTGAGCTGTGAGCTTAAATCAATAAAGCCTGATCAGAGAGCTGTCCTGAACAGGTCACTGGTTTGAGTTCTGTCAATGTCAGCTCAAATATGAACTCAGAAAGAATTATAAATGCTTTTCCCTCTTTTTATTTTAGTGTTCATCCATGTCATCTTATCCCAACGAAATTATTTTTGGGGCATAAAATGATGAAGGTTCACATAATTATTTGTTTTTAGGGTCAGTTTGAAAGCTTGGTGCAGTACAGAACAGCAGACTGCACTTTTGCCATTTTAATAACGTGCAGTTTATATATTTATTTAGCAAATTAGCTGAAAATTAATTGAATCTTTATGGTTGGGAGTGCTGCAGGCAGTGATGAACTTTCTGTTTCTTCATTCAGAAAAAGTGCAGCTCGTGTTGTTTAAGAACTTTTGTTTTGAAGGATTGCGCAGCAACATGCCAAACTGTTTCTGCAACATTAAAAATAATAATAATAATAAAAAAGACACTTCAGTTATCATTATTCAAACTCTGCTGACACACAGCACTGACTCACCCAGACATGCGTTAATGAACCCGTACCAAACGCACCCCGCGCGCCCGATCAGCCAGCGCCCCTGGGTGCTGGCCGCGAAGCTGAACGGGGTRCCCAGCACGCTGACCAACAGGTCGCTCACCGAGATGCTCACCAGCAGCAGGTTCATGGGCGTGCGCAGAGCCCGGAACCGGCAGAAGAGCGCGAGCACCAGGAAGTTCGCGAGCAAACCGAGGGCGCCGATGAAGCCCAGGCACAGCGCCACCACCAGGTGCCCGGTGGGGCTCAGGGACGGCGGGGGCGCAGCGCCGTGTTGGCCCGTGGTCACCTGCCCGGGACAGCGCGCGCAGCTCGGGCTCTCGTCGGAAACGATCATGCCGGGCTGAGCCGCGGAGTTTTGACCAGAACCATCCGGTCTCGGTGCTTTTTTTTTTTTTTCTTTCATGCGGTCAGCTCATCTGGAGGAGCGAAGGCGCGCGGACTGTGGAGATGCGCTACACTGCAGGCACGCTCATTACAAGAAAATAATAAAAGGTGTTCTGCTCCAGAGACCCACTTGTCCAATGAAGGAGCGCAGATCCAGGTGTCTTGTAAACCCGCCCCTCCGCCGCGCGCTCTGGGTTCTGCCATCAAGTGTACAAAGTGCGCCTCAGCAAATGCGTGGCTGAGGGGAGTGAAGACACAACAGTGTGTGTGTGTGTGTGTGTGTGTGTGTGTGTGTGTGTGTGTGTGTGTGTGTGTG